CCTAACATCCTCTAAGAATTGCTTCGCTTTCCGTTTCCCACATCATTCAGCTTTACTCCCCACCCACACATATTCTTTTTTTTTTTTTTTATGCCGCCGTTACTTTAGTTGCTCGGTCTTGTTGTTGTTGTTGTTGTTGTTTGTTTTTTTTGTTTGTTTTTTTTTTCCGGAACACATTTGCCTGCATGAACCTTTTCTTCCTTTTCCTTTGTCATCTCTGGTTTCTTGAATCTCCGCTCAAGCGTCGCCTGCTTGGCTGAGACGGCCCCGTCATTTTTGTTTTGGTTTCACTTCTTTTCTTGCTTGTTTGCTTGTTAGCCTCGGTGTCTCCCCGGCGCCCCACCCCCGCCCCCTACACAATCGCAGATGCCTGCAGGCATGCGGACGTGTGCCCCCTCGCTGGTGCCTGCCTTTCTTCTTCCGCTCCCCTCCGCGTGCCGTGCCCGTGCAACTGCGATCCGTTCCTTTTTGTTGTTGTCTCTCTCCCTCACCGAACTCCTCCGCGTCCCCGTTGGCTGCTGCTTGGCTTTCATTTTGTTCTCTATATAAATGCAGTCGGCAGGCATACCACCTCCTCCTCCTCCTCCTCTCCTACCCTGCAAGGCCCCCCCCCCACGTTGCTTATCCTTTTGGTTCACTGTCGTTTCTACGCCCACCCTCCCCTTTTGCGTGCTCCATTCACCCCTCCCCCCATATATTATATATTTTTTTCTTCTCCCTCCTCCTGGAGGCGACGGGACAAACTTTTTTTTTGTGTTTTTTTATTCGTTATTGTACTATTATTTGTAGTGCCCTGCACATACGCGTGCCATGCAAAGTATGAACAGCAACGGCAAGCAGCCCTCGTGAGTTGCCTCCCCACACACATATGTTGTACCCAGTTCTACTGTGGCGTGATACTCGCTTCCTCCTGGCCGGCCTCATTACTTCACGATGATTTGAAGAATCTCGCAGCCACGCAGCACCTGCACGAGAAAGTTATGGTGCTCGCAGAGGACGTCAAGGTACTTCTGCAGAGCCGGGTTCACGGTGAGTTCCTTCTCCGGCAAATCCGGAAACTCCTCGCGGGCCTCGTGTTGGATCTGCATCGTGCGGTTTGCCAGCACCTCCCGCAGGTGTGACAAGGAGTGCAGCGAGTAGCCAGCGACGTCAAGAATCATGTCACCCGCCTGGAACTGCAGCTCATCCTCCTCCACCTTCGGCAACGGGCGCTCGATGCTTGTGACCTCGAGGTTTTTGTTAATGCTGCAGCCAAGGATACCTTCAATGGCAAGGTTGGCGCTCGGCGGGTGGTCCATGTCCTCCGGTAAAAACGTCATGTAGTGAAACGGCTTCGTCTGACGCGGAGAGCCCGTCATACGGCGGCGGCGTTGCGGGCTCTCAAGTTCCGGCGCCGCGTCCGCGGCAGCCAGGCGGGCCGCCTCCTCAGCGAGCAGATCACTTAACCCCGAGTCAAACAATTCCATAAGTATCTCCCACTCGTCGTGCTCCTCGCTCAAGACACCCTTGCGGTAGTACTGCTCCTCGTTGTTCAGGTTCGCCACGTCCCTTCGCTCCTGTCGGCGACGCTCCAGCATGGCCCGGTTGCGGTGCATGATTTCCTCTAGTATCAGCACATGCTCGTCAAGTTCCTTGAGCTCAATCTCGTTTCGCGCCACATCCTCCACCGTAAAGATATACTCTCGCTGAAACAGGCGTCGACGACGCCCTTCATCCTTCACAAAGTGCGTGCGCTCGGCCACCTCCTCCATGAAAAGGGCCTGCCACGCCTCTGGCGAGACAGGCAACGCCCTCGGCACACCACCACTCGCGGGTGCCTTGCTGCCACAAACAATATCCAGCCGCTCCCGCATTTCATCCGCCGCCAGGATCATGCGTACCGTCCTCTCATCCCCAACAAGTCCCTCCACCTCATCCTGCAAAGCCTCAATGAGGAAGCTATGAAGGTTGGCGTAAATGTGCCGCCGTTGCTTTCTCTCGGCCTCCATGAGACGCTGTCGAGATGGCTGCTCATCCACCTCTGGCTGCGACGCCGCCGCCCTCAACCACTGTGAGTGCATCATGAGATCCAGCACCTGACGATCCTCACGCTCCTGCGCCGTAATACGCAGACGCCGCTCACGCTCTTGCGTAAGCATGCGTACAAGCGCCAGATTGCGACGCTGGGCCCAAGCCATTGCCTGCACTTGTCGTGCGTAGCCAGCCTCCACCTTTGCACGTTCCACCTGCTCTTCCCCCTCCAATGTGCGCTGCCGCACGGTGTGCGGGTGGTTTTGAAGCTGATGGTCCCGACCCTCATCACCGTTCGCGTTCAGGCGCGCCTCCGCCTCGGAAAGGACAAGTCTACTGCGCCGCGACGCCTCATCCCGCTCCAGTTGGTCCAGTTGGTCCTGCAGCTGCTCTCGTTGCAGGTCTCGTTGCTTGCGCCCGCGTTCGCTGCCGCGGTCCTGTTGGTGTGAGTAAATGCGATCCTGCAGCATTCTCTCCAAGTCACGCATCCGACCATTCGTGTCCATTCTGCTGTCCTGCGTCGTGGCACTGTCGCTGCGCCTCGTCTCAATCTCGTTGTCCGCGTGGCGCAGGTAGAATGGCGAGGTACTGCGATACCCCTGCGGCATCCGTGTCGGAGAACCACCCCTTGACCCGCGGGGTCCGACGCGGTTAGACATGCTGGAATTGGCGGAGACACGGAAGTTGTGGCGCATTTCGTAGAGTCGCTTCAACAACAGAAAAGGCTGGCTAGCGAAACGGCGCTCTATCGCCTCACGCGGCATATTATCACGGTTGTGGTGAATCTCCGCCGTGATGCGCATCCCTGGTTGGTCAATGGAAATTGTTGTGACAGTCACGAGGCGGCGTGGCAGCTTAAGCATCAGGCAGATGTCTGTTAGGGCGCAGAAGCGCACTTCTTCATCGCGCACCGGGTATAACAGATGCCATTCATCGCCGTAAATGTAGCGATCCAGCACAACCGTAGAGTACTCCACCAGGGCCTGCTCGTCTGTGGGTTGGGTTGCGTAAAGACCCGGATGCAGCGCAAGCGCCATTTGACCATTTCCTTTCATTGGATTAAATTGTGGACTCACACGCGATGCATCGCTTGCATGCGGTTTGCCTTGAGGAGCTGCAGACAGCACGGATGTGGCGTCATTGTGAAAGGGATGGTTCCTACTTTGTGTATGGGGACTGTAACTACGGACTGAGGCATCGTACTTGGCCGGATCCCCCACATTGAATGTGGTATGGTTTGGCGACTGCACACCCCCCGAATCGCGTAGAACCGATTCCATCTTTTCCGCCTCCTGTCGTAGACGCAGCGCCTCCTTCCGGTCCTTTTCAGCATCGCGTTGTAGTCTTTCTACAGAACGCAAACGTGCTTCAATCTCACGAAGGCGCGCGGACTCTTCTGCAACACTCGAGTACACCGTGCGGCGGGGAGAACGCGGTGAGACACTTGTAGGTCGGCTCACAGAGCGGTTTACAGAGGCACTGTACGAGCGATGACCACTACCGCCAAGAAGCTTCGCCTCCTCCACAAGATAGGCCTCGTGCACCAACTCCTTGTGCAGATACTGCATAAAATGCAGGCGATGGTGCATCAACTTCATCACACTGCGGGTAAACATCTGATATTGTGTGCGGTTTCTAGACAATCTCTGTGTCATGGTCGTCTCACTCGGAGACTGGAACGGTGACTGCCCGACAGAGTCGTATGGTTGGCTTACCAGTTGCGCCGGTTTGCTGGAACGAGGCGAATCCAAATTGTTAAGGGTCGTTGTTCTCCCAAACGAGGGCGGCTGTCCAACTGCATTTGGCTGCCGTGCAAGTCCAGCATCGCCCCTATTGTGTGGGGAGTTAGCCGAGCGTGGTGCTGGTTCATGAACACTGCTGCCTTTCAATGCGTGTTGCGGCAAGCCACTCCCACGCGAGTACTCTCGCAGACTCTCCTTTGCAGAGCTACGCAGGGATCGCAATTCACTCGGCGTCCCAAGCTCCCGACGGCTGTTTGTAGGATTACTGCGCACAGGAAGTCCCCGTTCATTGTGCGAGCTCTGCAGAACCTTTGAACTATCACAAGATTCATGTGGAGTCAACATTTCACGTTGGCTGTTTCTTGGTTGGTTCCTGGAAGGCAAACTGTGATTCCCTTTGCTCCCACGTGAAGAGCGTACCTCGCTTCGTGGTGTTCCAAATTCTCGGAGACTGTCATTCGTTCGGCTCAAGTGCCCTTTGGAGGTCCGGAGCATAAACGAACTCTCTCGCGGATCCATCGACCCCACTGGGGGGCTTAGGCAGCTTTGCATTTCACTTATGTCCCCCGTTGTCGCCGCAAATTCGTTCGTGGGGTAGGGCTTTTGGTTCTTGCTTTTGATGCTTGAGGCAGACTCACTTGCGTGGAGCGAACGGGCCTTTGGCGAGACGTTCTCCGGCACCAGGAATGCATCGTGAGAGTGATGGGAGGAAGCATAATCCTCCGTAATGTTCTCTGCACCGCGTGCGATGAGCGCATTGATGCAGCGGCTGTATGCCTCTCTACTGGGAAACTCGAGACGCAAATGTTTCCACTGCGCTGGGTTGTCCAGTCGCTGGAGCTCGGCGGCGGCGGCGGGTTCCTCCTTTGGCGTCCCTGGAAAGAGACCTGTGGACGCCGTCCGTCTGCTGGTGGCGCTGCCCTCCTTCTGTGTGGCAAGGCCGGCGGAAAGTGAGGCGTTGATGAAGAGATGGTCTGAGACGCTTGTCAGCACAACTGCCTCGGAACCGGCGAACAAGACACTCGGCACCCGGGCAACCTTCATAAGTGGGATGGAGCAAATGCCAATAAAAAGCGGCTCCTCATCGTTTAGCTCGCATAGCTTGAAGACAGAGACGGTGGTGTGCGTGATGGTGACACTGCCTGGCAGAAGCACCGTACTTCCGTTGGGCGCCATCTCCACGCGCAGGTTCACCGGATACTCCTCCATTGTTGCTTGTGCGCCGCTGCCGCTGCTCTTCGTGTCCTCGTCGGCGTCCCTGTGGCACGTGTTATTGGCGTTCCCCCCGCAGGGAAAGATCTTGCTGGCGTCGCTAAAGCCGGAGGTGCAATCGGACGACACTGCAAACAGCTTCCGTTGAGTGTCCGTTGCGCCAGCCACTTATCTCCCGTTTACTTCCCCCACGCTTCTGCCTTGGCCTTGTTTTGGCTTGCCTGGTTGAGTGACGGCCTGTGTGTGTGTGTGTGTGTGTCCGCTTTCTTGCTTGCTTTTCCTTTCGTCTATTTTCTCTCAAGACTAGTTTTTTTCTTTTTTTTCTTTTTTCTCCAGAAGCATTCACAAAAAGAAGAAAAAAGAAGAAGTACGACGACGTCCTCCGCCGTTTCCCCGAGAGGAGCGGCACACACACGGAGGGGGAGGGAGAGAGACGTAGATGAGGGTTGGAGCAATATATATATATATATATATAATGATAATAACAGTAGCAGCAACAACAGTAACGCCTTCCGCTCGTATTTACATGTAGACAGATGGATGGGCGGGTAGGTACGGCGTGGGTGCGTGGGGGTGCCATTGTGCAATGGCAAAGAACGGCACGCACGCACACACACACAGAGAAAGAGAGCGAACAAAATAAAGAGAAAAAAGGAGTGGAAGTTGTGGCTGCCGCAGTTCGTAAAGGGAGCAGGCACAAAGACGTCCCCGGCGACTCCGTGGCGGGGCAAAGATTCACCGCATCCGTCAAGAACACCCAGCAAGCAACAATGAAAAGTACGGCGAGGATGCAAAACAAAAAGAAATGAAACAAAGAAGAATTTTTTTAAAACGAAAAATGCAAAGGGGGAAATATATAAAAGAACAAAAAAAAAAAAAAAAAGTAACCCCGCAGATACGTGCTGCCGCGCCTCCCCACGCAACAGCATCGCACCGCACTCCCTCAACCCCGGCGCGCAGCGGCACAGACCGGACATGAGCCGCACGTCATGGCGCACTCCGCGCAGGTGGATGTGTGGCCGCAGGTGAAGACGCTTTTGTCCTGCAGTTTGGAAGCCGTCGCACAGCGGCTACAGAGCCCTTTCTTCATTCGTCCATTAAAGACCTGCTGCATGCGCTGCCCCACCTCCTCCAGGAGCTCACACAACACAAACACATCACTGTCACTCATTAGGGCAACATCCGCCGGGTCTGGTGTGTAGCGCTGCGTGAAGAGGATCTTCTTCAGCTGCAGTCTCTCCTCTACAATTTCGCGCATGTGCATCTCATTGAGGCGTTGTTGCTCACGAAGCCGCTGATGAAATGTCTCACCCTCGCGCTTCTGGGGCGGCCTCTTGTGCACTATGTAATCTTCTTCGTTATCTACATCAGGTTCCACTCTTCCATCCCACGAGTGTTTGGGCAGCGACGCTGACCCAGCCATTTTGCAATCCATGTCTTTCTTCAGCCGCTCCCACTCACGGTGCATCGCCCGCGTGGTTTGCTGCATATCAAACTCGCGAAAAATGCCGCTTGCGGGCGAGGCCGTCGACGCAAACGAAGACTCGTCCTCGCCCACGCTGGCGTCATGGCTGTTAGGATGAAACGTGTATGTATCGTTTTCATTGAGATCATCGGTATAATGGCTGTACGTGTTGCTACCTTTGCAGCCGGTGGTCCTCGCCTTGGCGTCCCTGCTCCTTTCATTCGCGTTGCGCCTGGCACTCTCATCTCTCCGACGACCACCTACGCCGCCACCGACATCCGCGGTAAATGCGGAGGGGAAGGGCACAGGCCTCGGCCTCATTGAAGGTTGTTCCCCTTGTGGTGGCGGATATTGCGGAGGGGGTGCGGCACCGCTACTCATGGAATAACCACTAACAGGCACCCGCTCACCGTGTGCGCGGCGCCAGCGTTCGTCCGCCCTCTCATACATTTCAGACGTGCCAAAGCGGTAACCTCCTCGATTTCCCCTCGCGTTGGGATCGATGCCGCCGCGACCGGCACTGTCACTGTTGCCGCCAGCACCCTTGCCATCGGCCTGTGTAGAGAACTTGGTCTTGGTGTGGCGCCTGTCGTAGGTAAAGTCTCCTGGAATGGAGCCAAAGAGCTCCTCCTCCGTAAAGTGTGGAGCCTCCTCGGTGGTGTGTGTGTGTCGCGCGTACTGGTACCCAGACCCCGCGTTGTTGTAGTACGTGTTGAAGGCGAAGAAGGTCGTACGGGTACGGGAGGCCGGCCTGTTGCCTCTGACGCCAGTGGTTGTCTGCACATTTGCTGAGTCGCGCCCGCCGTTGCGGCGGAAGTGCACGCAAAGGGCCTCGTAGGCCTCGTTGACCTTCTTGAACTGCTCGGCACCGCCCGGGTTGCGGTCCGGGTGCAGCGCCAGGGCCTTCTGACGGTACGCCTTCTTCAGCGCCGCCTCGTCACAGCCGCGCGAAATTCCCAGCACTCTAAAGTGATTGTCCATCGCGGGCGCCCCGCACGCACGTCAGAGGGCGAACGATGCACACGGGCCCACTGAGCCCGGGGAGGCAAGGAAACAGGGGTACCACGTGGGGCCTTGGCCGTAGATAGCTTAGCTAGATGTGTGTGAGTGTATGTATATACAGAAAGATGAAATGGAGGATGTACAACTCACTCCTAGAATAAGTGGCACCTTCCGCTCCTGTCTTTTCTACGCTGCAGAAGAAGAGCCCCTCTTTACCTTGCCTCTCCCCTCACTATGATTCGCTGTCTGCAGATGTGTGAGCTGCAGCGGGAAAGGAGAGTGGGAGCCCCACGCAGCAGCAAGAAAAAAAAAGAAAAAAGCGGGAAATGCATATTTCGGCAAGAGGAAACATGACGCGGCCGACAACGCAAAACCCACATGAGTCATGCGAGGAGGAACAACAGCTGTCGCAGTCGTGGCGGCCCACTCAACGAGATGCACCCATAAAAACGTCATTTTTTTTTGTTTCTGCTTTTTGCAGTTTCCGCCGAGATAAAAAAAAAAAAAAAGGAAAGCGAAGCGAATAGCGGCTGTGTGGGTGTGTGGCGGGAGGGGAGGGGAGGGGAGGGGAGGGGAGGGGAGGGAGGGGGTGCGCTCTTTTTGCTTTTGTCTTTTTTTCTGTTTCCCTACCAGCTTTATGCGGGCCGTGGAAAAGTACGAGGGGGTACGACGACGAAGACGCCGCCCACAGGACAGGCAGCGGCGGCAGCAGCAAACCAATAAAAATAAAAATAAAAAAATGGAAAGCAAACAAACAAACAAGAAATATAAGATGCAAACAAAAGCAAAAAAAGGGGGGGAAAAAGATGTTTACCTGTTAAAAGGGAGTTGTGTCAAGCCTGGTGGATGTGTGCCTGTCTGCGCGGGAGAGGGGCGAGCATACGCACACGAACACAACAACAACAAACAAAAAAAAAACAAATGGGGGATGCTATTAGGCATCCACAAGTCTATTTTTTTGTTTTTGTTTTTGTTTTCCGTCTTTATTTTCGTTGCATTGACTACTCTCGTCCTTCCGCGCTGCAGGCTCCAGCGGGGGAAGGGGAGAAAAATAAGAGATGGGCGGCCGAATGCGTACACCTGCCGCTCACGCCCGTGCAAAAGAAACATTTTTTATTATTATTATTATTTTTTTCAAATGAGGCCCACACATTTCCCCTCCTCCAGTGGGTGCGTAGTTGCCTCACGGTTCCTTCTCCGTCCACTACATCTTCAACTTTTCCAGCACCGAAGCTGGCATCGTGCCTCGAACCACATCCATCTCCAGGCACTTGCAGCCGCTCTCCAGGGCCTCACGCACGGCCTTCGCAAGGTCGCTCATGTCTTCCATGAGTTTGTTCCGGCAGGCAAAGAGAAAATCCCCCTCAGTTATGCTGTCAGCGACACGATTTTTACCACCTTTCTCCAACACCGGCCGCCGGGCCTTGACGCACCTCAGAGCCGAGTCAAATTCACACGATGGCAAGTGGGCAGAGAGAAACTCGCGCGCCACCATCCGCTCCCGCTCTGTAGACCACATAGGTCCCATAAGCATGTATGCTTTGCGTAAGTAGGAGGAGAAGGAGCAAGTACTGGCTGTTCCAAGGGGCCAGTCAAACTTCCCCGTCAGGGTGCTTCGGTTCTCCCGCAGTTGATCCACTAAACTGCACACGCTCAAGCAAACGTGGCGATCAGCTTGGTAAGAGGAAACCGCAGAAGAATCGTCGGACAAGACGTTTTCCTTGTGGCTGTGTCGGCTACCGTGGATGCTGTCATGCAACTTTGTGCTGGAAGGCACTGCATTATAAGTGAACGGAGAAGAAATGGGCCTGCTATACGTCTGCGACTGAGGGTGACGCTCCGAGTTTTGCTCCAACAAGGCCCCGCTGCACAAGACGTGGCGCCGCAACACCCCGGGCGCCTTGCCACTTTCAAGCCTTGCCTGTGGGGTGGCGACAAGCCGTTTGGAAAGGGCTCTTCTTCGCGCCAACCATTGTGTAACGCCCTCCGGCGCCGAGGTAATCGAGGTGGACCGGGCAGCATGCAAAACACTTCCTGCCTGCCAAGTCCGCCGAACCTGTCGCGGTGACGACAAGGAGAGGGTAGTTGATAAGCGGGCGCTCAAAAGAGGATTATGTCGTACATACTCGGGGACGCCAGTGAAACAGGTACAATTGACATCACCATGCTTCACAGCGGAGAGCGAGAAAGCCCGCTGCTGCTGCTGCTGCTGCTGCACAGACCTCTCATGGGCCTGCAGACGCCGCCCATTGAACGGCCGCATGCCATCCTTCCCATCCACAGATGCATCAGACTCACCACCGCGCTCACCAGCAACACTGGGTCTACACCTTTTTGGCGCAGTTACCCGGAAAGCACGACGCCGCTGGAAAGATGCATCGCTGAGGGGGGTTCTTGACCGCGGCACAAGCTCCGAAGCAATGAAAGGCCGCTGTGCGGGGGTCCGCTGTTTGCCGCCTGAACCAACAATGAGCCCCGGCTGATGACTCCTTCGAATGCTTCGCACCTCCCCCCGCAGGAGCGGCCGCTCCTCCCTGTAGCAGTCATTTCTCGCGGAGTGAGGCACTACTGCATTCGGCGATGCATGCAAAGTCTGTCTGAGGCCACTGTTGGCGAGCCGTCCCAAAGCCAACTCTGTGTTTTGCATTTTTGTTTTAATTTCTTGACGTAGGCAACGAAAGGGGGTTGGCTTGACTAAAGTCTCCACCGAACAGGCGCCTCCTTCCCTCCCACTCACCTCACTCACTCACGCACACACACACACACACACACGCACCTCTGCGGCGAGGCTCAGAAGGAAGAAGAGAGAGAAGAAAAAAAAAAAGTTGTTTTTTTTTTTACAAAAAAAAAAAAAGAGAACGAAAAGCGGCTTACACGTGCAGCCTCTTCTTCTTCTCCCCCCGCCTTATGCAGCTGTGCGTAAGTCACCCACCCACCGAAAGGCGGCGCATGAGCTTCTCGCTTTCTCGTACTGTTTGAATTTCCAAAGGTGTGATTCCGTCCAAAGTTCTTTTGAGTCTGTTGTTGTTGTTCTTCCTCTTCGTGTTTCCTTACTTGCCTGCGGGAGCTGCCGAGGTGTCCTCCCACGCATTCCTTCCTTGCAGCAGAGGTTGGGCTGCGCTGGAGAGCGGCGCAGCAAGCTGTTGTTGCGGGTGAAGCGGAAGCTACAAAGCAAGCGCCACACGCAGGCACCCACACGCATGCGTGCGACTTCCAGCTAGGGAAGAATAGACCACAAAGAGGAGGGATAAGACTATCACAGCCGCGTGCGGGAGTGCCGCCGGTGAGGAAGAGCGGCGACGGCACACACACACACACACACACACACACACACACACAAACACACAAGGAAGAGAACAAGAGAAAAAGAGGGATACGTCCACCGGCTCCCAAAAACTTTTGTTTGTCGTACCCCATTTCCTTCATGTAGCGCTGGCGGTGGTTCAATGCTTCTTGCGGGCAAAGGCGTCGAGTTCCTTCAGTGTCATCGTGCGTCTACGCCGGCGCAACCAACTAACCGTCGCCGCAAGAGCCACCTCATCGCACACGCCGCTCATTCCCCCACCGTGGTTACTGCCGCTGCCGTGGTGGTTGAGGTGACAGCTGTGGCCGCCGCCGTGGCGCCGCATCCAGGCAGCGAAGCGGGCGGGATAGTCGTCGTCCAGGAGCTCCATTTCGGCTGGTACCCGCGTCAGTGGTGTCGCCACGGCCTCACCAACGCGATCACGGGGGAGCAACGTGGAGTGGAGCTCCTCCGGCTCCTCCTC